TCTCTGACAAAGGCTTTAAGTATTTTAAATTTGTTTTAAAAAAAAAGTATTTTAAATTTGGCTAAAACACTCTGTAGGCAAGCAGATTCTCCCCATACATATGCAACCTTTGCTTCCTATAGCTCAGTGCAGCCAGGATACTATGAAAAAAAAAAAAAAAAAGGCAACTTTTCCTCCCTGTCTAACAGAACTCCAGGCACCCAGCTCAGGAGACAGTCCTCTCTGTAGATGGTGGCAAGGAGAGGCCAAATGACAGCAACATGCTATAGGGTCAGTCCTGTCTTGTCACTCCCTTCCCAGCAGCTCCCAATCTGGCTTCACTGCTTTTCTACTCAGGGAACTATGTTAGCAACAAAATGTTCAGAACGTACGAAGCCAAAAAGCATGTTGCAAACAAATGTGTAGACACCTTCCATTTTAAAGAAAAAGGGATTTTCCTCTAAGTTTTTTAAAAGAAGTCACTGGGTGGTGAAATTATGTGTGATACTTTTCTTCTTTTTAAGTATCTGATGTTTTGACACTTTCAGCACAGAACATGTATTAGTTTAATATTTCCTTTAAGTAATTTTACACCCAATGTGGGGCTTGGATGTAAACTCTGAGATCAAGAGTTGCATACTCTATCTAGTGAGCTAGTCAGGTGCCCTTGGGACATGTATTAGTTTATTTGAAAAGAAAAAAATAGTGTAAGTTACTTGGAAAGAATGGCTTGATTTTTTAAAAGACTTTTTAAAAAAAGTTTCTGCATATGCACTTACCATCTTGTCTTAAATATTTTATTATTTGGCATCAGAAATCATGTTTATCAAGATTAATATTTTAACCACAATGCAAAGCTGAAGCGAAACTATATCTTGAAAGTAATACAAGCAGGCCGGGTCCAGAGACCCAGAGGGGGTCCAGTAGGACCAGACAAGAGGGTCCTCAGCTTCACTCAGGATGTAAGTCAAACATGAGGCAACAGGAGGTGAAAGCAGAGTTTATTGGTGATATAGAGAGAGCAGATACAAATTGAGTGTCTAGGAGACTCAGAAAGGAAAGGAAGGAGTCTTGTCCTTGTTTGGAGTCTGGAGTTTTTATTGGTGATTGTGATCTGGCGCAGCACATGTCCTCTCAGGCATCCAAGAACCGCTCAGAACAAGGACAGGGGCCAGGAGTCCTTCCTATGTCACTTGTTCCCTGAAGCCAGGGGTTTTGCAGTCAAGGTGTTTGGAGTCAGTGGTCTTAGAGAACGTTTATGATGATCCTGTGTCATCACTCCTTAGATGTTACCTATTATGCCGGAAGACTCCAAGGAAATCATTAACTCCTTGATCTTTACAAGGAGGACACACATTAAGGCATGTGGAAGGTAGGGGTGCAGGTCTTGCAAGAGTATAAGCAGGAAAAGCAGCTAAGAGGGAAATATGGCTTTTTTTTCATGGGGTCCCTTCAATTTCTGTGTCTCAAAGGACAAGTATAAACATAGGGTCAGACTAGATCAGAATAGATGTAAAAAATTAATTTCAAGGACTTGAAACACCTTCCCTTTTTGAAATAGCCTTAAACATTTTGCTTATTTTGGGGGGCCCTGGGGCCTTCTGATAAGAACTGATGTTACAGCTTAGTTTTGACAAACACCAACACCCAAGTAACCACATCCTATCGAGGAATAGAATAATCTTATCCCCCTGGAAAACTCCTTTCACATGTGTTCATGGCAATCCTCCTTCTCAGAAGCAAACACTGCTCTGGTTTCTAACTCTATTAAATTAGTTTGACCTCATTTAGAACTTCATAGTAGTAGAGATTCTTGAATGATGAAATTGGATCTTTGCAAACACCGTATTAGAGGTCTTTAAAATTATTTTTAATAAAATTAAAAACGATTGAACGAAACCTTCTAGTTTTGGAAGTCTATCTAGATACTCTGAGATTAGTCTCATGACTCAACCATCAAATGCTATTATATTCATATAACAGAAGAATATGATATGGGTATCTTACACCTAATAAACTTAGGGAAAGTAATTACTGGGAAGTCTGGGTGTGATTTGCATCTGTTTCTTTTTAAAGAACAACTTCAAAAAAGATCAGTTTAGGGGATCCCTGGGTGGCTTAGTGGTTTAGGGCCTGCCTTCAACCCTGGGTGTGATCCCAGAGTCCCGGGATCGAGTCCCACATCAGGCTCCCTGCATGGAGCCTGCTTCTCCCTCTGCCTATGTCTCTGCCTCTCTGTCTCTCCTGAATAAATAAATAAATAAAATCTTAAAAAAAAAAAAAAAGATCAGTTTAAACAAGCCTTGTTAAAAAACAAAATCCAACTGAGGAAATTTGAGGATCTATCTAATTGGCTTTATTAAATGATTTTTAAATGATTTTTTAAAAAAGAATTTATTTATTTATTCATGAGAGACACACAGAGAGAGGCAGAGACACAGGCAGAGGGAGAAGCAGGCTCCATGCAGGGAACCCGATGTGGGACTCGATCCCGGGTCTCTAGGATCACACCCTGGGCCGAAGATGGTGCTAAACCACTGCCCCTATTAAATGATTTATGAATCAAGCAGCATCCCATCTACCAAATAGGTGGCTCTCTAAAGACATACACAAAATAGAAGGTTTTCTTAGAAGAAGGGTGGGGGAAGAGAGCTACTAGCTGCAGAAAAGGATTGTTTCAACATGTGGCTGCTTCCTAAAGGGAGAAAAGCAAGAAGTCTGACTATGCAGATGGATTCACTTTCTTTGAGGGGGGTGGAGAGGACCCCAGGTGGCAGACTCATTGCTGCTGATGGAAAAATTCTGGGTGACTAGTGAAGACTACATTTCTGAGGTTGAAACTGCAATTAGATTATGTATTTAGCCTCAGTTTGGGAATTCAGCCTAAGTGACACCATTTTGCGGCTGTGGTTTATTGTGTTTTGTTCTTTTTTAAACAGGCTTACTGAAATTTGGGTATTTTTCCTTATAGAAAAAAAATAATTAGGATATACAAGGATTTGGGACTCCTGGGTGGCTCAATGTTTGAGCACCTGCTTTCGGCCCAGGGTGTGATCCTGGAGACCTGGAATCAAGTCCTGCATCGGGCACCCTGCATGGAGCCTGCTTCTCCCTCTGCCTGTGTCTCTGCCTCTTTCTCTCTCTGTGTCTCTCATGAATAAATAAAATCTTAAAAAAAAAAAAAGATATACGAGGACTTCTCACAGGAGTTGAGGGAACTTCTTATATCCTAAAACCCTCTTTAAAGGTCTAAGGTTACTCTTTCATCTATGTTTATTCAGTAAATATTTACTGGACATTTTAACACCAGAGTCTGGGCTAGGAATTAAGGGAAATGTATCTTATATTTACCTGTCTAGATGTCTATGTTCTAATCCCCAAGACTTGTGATTATATACCTTAAAGGGTGAGAAGAACTGTGTAAATATGATTAAGTTCAGGATTTTTTTTTATATTTTTTTTCAAGATTTTATTTACTTATTCATGAGAGACACAGAGACACACAGAGAGAGGCAGAGACACAGGCAGAGGGAGAAGCAGGCTCCATGTAAGGAGCCCTATGCGGAACTCGATCCCGGGACTCCAGGATCACATCTGGGGCCAAGGCAGGAACTAAACCGCTGAACCACCCAGGAATCCCCGAGTTCAGGATTTTAAAATAAGAAAGTTTTCCTAAATTAGCCAGATGGACCAAATGTAATCACACCAGTCCTTAGGAGAGGGAGGCAGGAAGATCAGAGTGAGGAGAAGACAAGCAAGAGGATGAGAGTGATGGGAGGAAGGAGTTATGAGCCAAGGAATGCTGGTCACATCTCAAAGCTATAAAGGCAGGGCAATGGATTCTTCCCTAGAGTCTCAGAAGGAAGCAGCCCTGTCAGCACCTTGATTTTAGCCCAAGGTCACATATACTGGACTTTTGAACTCTAGAATTATAAGATAGTAAATCTGTGTTGTTTGGAGACACTCGATGGTAATTTGTTATAGCACCATTAGGAAACACATACAAATATTATCCACCCCCTAGGTTTATGAGAAAGGTTAATTAACATGAAACATGCAAAGTGGCAAAAATATCATAAGGAGCCTCAAAAGCTAAAAGAGAGGGAAAGTTATGATGGAGTAGAGTTTACAAGTTTACAATAATCTCAGGGCAGGGGTGCCTGGATGGTGCAGTCATTTGAGCGTGCAACTCTTGATTTCCACTTGGTTCAGCTTATGATCTCTGGGTCATGGAATTGAGCCCATGCTGGGCTCCTGGGAGTTCAGTTTGCTAAAGTTTCTCTCTCCCTCTGCCCCTCCCCACCTCTCTCTCTCAAATAAATAAACAAATTAATTTAAAAAAAAAGAATTTCAGGGTATAGGCTTCACAGAGAAGTTAACTTTAGAACAATACACAAGACTGCTTAGTGGCACACACATTTGCTAATACTTCCATTAAATCTTTTTTTTTTTTTTTTTTTTTTTAGATTTTATGTACTTATTCATGAGAGACACACACAGAGAGAGGCAGAGACATAGCAGAGGGAGAAGCAGGCTCCAGCAGGGAGCCCGATGTGGGACTTGATCCCGATGTGGGACTTGATCCCGGGTCTCCAGGATCACACCCTGGGCTGAAGGCAGCGCTAAACCGCTGAGCCACCCAGGATGCCCACCATTAAATCTTTTCATTTACTAATCAAGGTTTAAAGGAATATAATGTAGTTTTAATTTGTACCTTTTATTTCTATTGCTTCTCAGCTTTTTGGCTAAGGTCAAGAGTACCTTTTGTTTCCAAGATGTTTTCATGTACCTAGTCACCATTTCATTTCCTTTTCTGTAATTTGTCCATCCAAATCATTTGCCCATGTTTTTATCATTTAAAATTTCCCCTGGCAGGACACCTGGGTGGTTCAGCAGTTGAGCGTCTGCCTTTGGTTCAGGGCGTGATTCTGGAGTCCCGGATCAAGTCCCACATCGGGCTCCCTGCATGGAGCCTGCTTCTCTCTCTGCCTGTGTCTCTGCCTCTCTCATTCTCTCTGTGTCTCTCATGAATAAATAAATAAAATAAAATAAAAAATAAAGACTTTAGGATCATAGCATCACACATGTGTTAGATATAAAACAATGTGGTGGAAGTGATGTCCCCCACCCACCGCCCCAGGGATTCTGTTCTAGGTCAGGGAGCAAAGAATGACACTTAGAAGATTTGATTAGCAATATGAAAGCATATGTTAATACTTAACTCTAAGTTCGAAACACAAACTAAGAAAATGTCAAATCTTTGGTGGTCACACTGGCCCAAAGCAGAGAAATGAATTCTACACTGATTATTTTTTCCTCCCTATCACTGATCTTCTCACTATTACCTGGCTCCTGGACACAACTTTTCTCACTTTCAAATCCAAGCTTAAGGAACTGTAGATGACACAAAGCCAAAAGAGCTTTCCTGCCCTTTCCCCCTTTGCCCCTCTCTGTGCTTATCATCATGAGGACAGAGTGGCCTCTTTGGACTCTATTTTCTTCCATTTCTTACCAGTATTGTGCACAAAAGAAGGAAAGTCTAAGAACTGGCACAGCAAATGATAATGGTTTCCATTTAGAACATGCAGAGGACAAATGGCTCTGTGTTTGCTTATACTAATCATTTTGTTTCATTTCACAGGGATAACATAATAACAGCTCAATATTAGATAAGTATTAGCATATGTGGTGGCAAATACACGTGTAACAGAGTATAAAAAACAGCACAGCATTTGTGCAAAGAAATTCTGGAGACTTTCCTTTAATGGAGGTTGGATGTTCACTGGGAATGGAAGGAATGGGGAAATATGAGATAAGGTCTGGGAAAGCATCCCCAGTAGTGAGAGGGAGATGAATGATACCCCAGAGGAAGAGGATCTACAGACAATAGCACAGCAGCAGGCAGGTGGTCTGCCTTTCCTCACACGGGAATGAAGCAGAGCTGGTAGGTGGGTGGGACATGGCCAAACCCACTGGCAAGTGGGGTGGTATCAATGTCCTTTGGATCGACCAGAGGTTTCAGGGTAAATTTTTGTAAAATGGTGGTCAGGAATAAAAACAGCTCCATGCGGGCCAGTCCTTCTCCCACACAAATTCGTTTTCCTGAAAATAACAAACACAAGGGATTTGTTCCTTGAATGCTATGTTTTGAACTGCCCCAAAAAGTATGTCACAAAAATTATCTGATGGATGACTCTACTGATGGATAGCCGTAAGGAAGGTTAGAGGGACAGATGGATAGAAGGATAGAAATGGTTGCTATTCACTGAGTATCTTCACGGGAACTCTTTATTCAACAAATATCTCTTGAGTATCAGGCCTATATCAAGCACTTCATTATGTATTCCCATATTATAATTGCTCTTTTCACATTTCCAGTTTCCACAAATTCTTGTAGAAATACACCCACCTGTCCAAGTGCATTGGAGGGAGGACTAAGAGAAGGGAACTCATATATCTGTGTTTCCCTTTCTACCTTGGGCATAAAATTTAGACAAAGATTTTTTTTTCCCTTCATGTGATTTCATTTTTTAAGAAATATTTTATTTATTTATTCATGAGAGACACAGAGAGAGAGGCAGAGATACAGGCAGAGGAAGAAGCAGGCTCCTGGTAGGGAGCCCCATGCGGGACTCAATCCCAGACCAGGATCACACCCTGAGCCAAAGGCAGATGCTCAACCGCTGAGCCACCCTGGTGCCCCCTTCATGTAATTTCAAAAACACATGTCTACAAGTGTCACTCTCTCACTTTAAATTATTCAATGTCTCCTTAATTTGTCCTATGATGAGGCCAAATGGGCTAAATTGGCCCTCCACATTCTGTTCCCAGTTTGACCTTCCATATCCCTCCTTCCATCCTCTGTACCCTCTACTTCCAGTTCTAGCCAAACCCACTCATCATCAATCTCCAACACTCCATTAAGTTTCCAGCTTTATCTCATGCTGTTCCCTTTGGTTAAGGTCCACTTCTCTTATACTTCTTTCAGGACCTATGTCTCATGTCATTTCCTCTATAATCTCCTGCTCCTATGGTCCACTTTGTAAAAGTGTGCTGCCTTCTCTTCTTTTCCTTGCTCCCTGTCCCCTGTGAGGCAGCTCAAATTCCTTTTTAAAAAAAAAAATATTTTATTTATTCATTCATGAGACACAAAGAGAGAAAGAGAGGGAGGCAGAGACACAGGCAGAGGGAGCAGCAGGCTCCACACAGGGAGCCCGACGTGGGATTCGATCTTAGGTCTCCAGGATCACACCCTGGGCTGAAGGCGGTGATAAATGGCTGAGCCACCTAGGCTGCCCTCCTTTTTTTTTTTTTTTTAAGATTTTATTTATTTATTTATTTATGAGAGAGAGAGAGAGAGAGACAGAGAGAGAGAGAGAGAGAGAGAGAGAGAGAGAGGTAGAGAGGCAGAGGGAGAAGCAGGCTCCATGCACTGGGAGCCCGACGTGGGATTCGATCCCGGGCCTCCAGGATCGCGCCCTGGGCCAAAGGCAGGCACCAAACCGCTGCGCCACCCAGGGATCCCCGCAACACTAGTCTTACTAGATTTACTAATTTGCCTCCCTCACTAGAGTGTGAGCCTCTTTGGTGTCTGTTCTGTGCTTATGGATACTTATATATATTATATAACTGGGCAGTAAGGGATATCACATAGAAGATACCTTTTTTAAAAGATTTTGTTTATTTATCTATTTATTTGAGAGAGAGAGTGGTGGGGAAGGGCAGAGGGACAAGCAGATTCCCTACTGAGTGGGGAGCCCAAGGCAAGACTTAATCCCAGGACCCTGAGATCATGACCTGAGCTGAAGTCAGATACAGACATCCCACACAGAAGATACTTAATTCAAATTTGAGGAGTTATATATGGCCAGAGAGTAAAGTCTAAATGAGTTTCATCTGCTAAGAGGAGCTCTTGGTGGTTCAGTGATATATCTAGAGGCAGAATTCAATGAACTTAATTCTCTAGCTTTCTCACTTTGGAAGAACGGGGTCACCGAGCCAAAGTTCCAATAATGAGGATGTATGGTGAGTAGGGGAAAGTGCATTGGCATTGGGACTGATGCTTCTGGTCATGGACAAAGAACAAATCTATCCAGCTTGAGCAGGTACCATGTAAGTTTCAACTGATTCCCCCAAAATATTTTCTCCCCTTCAGCACCTAAGGAAATTAATTCTTTTTTTAAAAATATATTTTATTTATTTATTCATGAGAGTCAGAGAGAGAGAGAGAGAGAGGCAGAGACACAGGCAGAGGGAGAAGCAGGCTCCATGCAGGGAGCCCGACGTGGGACTCAATCCTCAGCTTAACTGCTGAGCCACCCAGGGATTCCCAGGAAATTAATTCTTATTACCTGCTGAGAAAGCCATGAAGTAGTCACTCTTCTTGAAGTTGCCGCTATCATCCAGGAAGTGGGCAGGGTCAAATATCTCTGGTCTGGGGAATTCTTTCTCATCAGATAGCACAGAAGACAGTGATATTAATATAGTTGTGCCCTGGAATGAACAGACGAAGATAAGCTGGGTTATAAAGAAGGTGTGGAGCTGGAAGAAATGTGGCAAATCACTTCGTTCCATATTTTGATCTATATGTGAGGAATCCCAGGTCCAAAGAAGAGCAATGGCATTTTCAGCTAGACAGACCAAGTAATAAACTGGGATGATATTAAGGCCATGCTAGTCAGGATGCTAAAATGGCCTCCAGTAGGGTCTGAAATACTGAGCACTTGGTTACTTGGGCACCAGACCTCTGAATCACCTCCACTGATCACAATGTTTGGACACTTGTGTCTGTCCACTCATGCTCTATTTCATCGCCTCAGTTTTCATGCACCTCATGTGGATTATGGTTTAAAATGGAAGTGTCTAGGGGTGCCTGGGTGGCTTAATTGGTTGAGTGTCCAATTCTTGGTTTCAGCTGAGATTGGGATCTCAAGGTCGTAAGATCAAGCTCCAAGTTGGGCTCCAAGCTCAGCACAAATTTGGCTTGGGATTCTCTCTCTCCCTCTGCCTCTTCCTCTCCTCTTCCCCTTGCTCATGCTCTCTCTCTCTCAAATAAATAAATACAATCTTAATAAATAAATAAATAAATAAATAAATAAATTCTTTAAAAAATTGAAAATAAATAAATAAATAAATAAATAAATAAATAAATAAATAAAAACTGAAGCCTCTGTTGGCTCTTGAAATGTCGGGAGTATTAGTAATCTGTTCATAGGACTTTTAAAAATAGAGGTCTTGGGCACCTGGGTAGCTCAGTTGGTTGGGTGTCTATCCTCGGCTCAGGTCGTGGTCCTGGGGCCCTTGCTCAGTGGGGAGCCTGCTTCTCCCTATCTCTCTGCCTGCCACTCTCCCTGCTTGTGCTCTCTTTCTGTCAAATAAATAGATAAAATCCTTAAAAAAAAATTGAAGTCTGATCTGAACCTGGCTGGCTCAGTTGATACAGCATATGAGTCTTTTTTGTTGGTTTTGTTTTGTTTTGTTGTTGTTAAAGATTTTATTTATTTATTCATGAGACAGAGAGAGAGAGAGAGAGAGAGAGAGAGAGAGAGGCAGAGACATGGGCAGAGGGAGAAGCAAGCTCCATACAGGGAGCCTGACAAGATTCTATTTTTAAAATGTATTTACTGAGACGCCTGGGTGGCTCAGCGGTTGAATGCCTGCCTTCAGTCCAGGGTGTGATCCTGGGGACCTGCCATCGAGTCACGTCGGGCTCCCTGCATGGAGCCTGCTTCTCCCTCTGCCTGTGTCTCTTCTTCTTCTTCTTCTTCTTCTTCTTCTTCTTCTTCTTCTTCTTCTTCTTCTTCTTCTTCTTTCTCTCTCTCTCTCTCTCTCTCTCTCTCTCTCTCTCTCTCCCTCTGTGTCTGTCATGAATAAATAAATAAAATCTTTAAAAAAAAAAAAAGAAAAGAGGGATCCCTGGGTGGCGCAGTGGTTTGGCGCCTGCCTTTGGCCCAGGGCGCGATCCTGGAGACCCGGGATCGAATCCCACGTCGGGCTCCCAGTGCATGGAGCCTGCTTCTCCCTCTGCCTATGTCTCTGCCTCTCTCTCTGTGACTTTCATGAATAAATAAAAATTAAAAAAAAAGAAAAATAGAATCTCAGCAGTAGAGAATTATGGCAGATACCTCCTTAATAAGTGATTGCCTTAGCATCACCAATAATGGTATAAATTGATATTACATGTCTCTAGCCAAAATGTGATGTAGTGGGACATATACATCATCTATGTAATTTTCTTCTCCAAAACACAGCTTTGGAATCTAATCTCAAAACAAAACCAAAACCACACCAAAATAGACTGAGGAATATTCTACATGACAACTGTCCTGGACTCTTCAAAACTGTAAGCGTACTGAAATGAAACAAATAAAGGAAGAGGAACTGATCTTCACAAAAGGGGCCAAAAGGGACAGATAATCAAATTACATACTTATTCTTTGATTAGACAGAAGATGCCCCCACGAGAACCTGGGTGGCTCAGTGGTTGAGTGTCTGCCTTTGGCTCAGGTCATGATCCTGGGGTCCTGGGATAAAGTCCCGCATCAGGCTCCCCACAGGGAGCCTGATTCTCCCTTTGCCTGTGTCTCTGCCTCTCACTCTCTGTGTCTCTCATGAATAAATAAATAAATCTTTAGGAAAAAAAAAAGATACTAGATGCCTCCTCAAAAAAAGCTATAAATGATATTTTAGGATAATTGAAAAAAATATAATTATAGACTATATATTAGATAAAATTATTGTATAGATGATAAATCCTTAAGTGTGAATGCTGTTATTACTCTGAAGGAAGCCCTTGTTCTTAGAAGGCACATACCGCAGTATTTAGGAATGAGAAAGATTGATGGACATAGGTAGATATGCACTTAAAATATAAATGTATACACATTTTCATATATACTATTTATATATACATAAGACATTACAGAGCCATTGCGTGTGTTTAAATGCTATTTATATTTTTTAATTTTTTAAATTAAAAATTAGAAGGAAATTCCATCTTCTAAGTTTCTCATATTTAAAATCTATAATTTTGTTTTCAAAATTATTGCTTTATATATCTTAAGACAAGTAATACGTAGAAGTGTTACTGTAAGATTTAAAAAGCAAGTATATTTTCAATAAATGATTCTGGGACAAGTTCTGGATATCCAGAAAAACAACAAAAAAATACAATTACCACTTTACACTATAAATAAAAATGAACTGTAAATGGGTCACAGACCTAAATATAAAAACTGAAAGTATAAAACTCATAGAAGAAAACATAAGGGCAAGTATTTGGGAACACATGTCAGCAACAAATTTTTAAGGTAGGACACAAAAGCACAAGTCAAAAGAGAAACAATTGATAAATTGGACTCCAACAAAATCCAAAACTTCTGCTCTTTGAAAGACATTCTTTGAACACATAAGGAAGAAAGAAAAAAAACAACCCACAGGTTTAGAGTAAATGTTAGCAACACCTACATATGATATAAGACTTACATATAAAATATATAAAGGATTGCAATAATTAAATAAGTAAATGACCTTACCTTATAGGAATATTACTTCAGCATTCTACCAAAAAATATATATGAATAGTCAATCAGCATATGAAAAGAAGCAAAACATCATTGTCCATCCAGAAAATAGAAGTAAAACAAAATGTGATATCACTACACAAGCACTTTTAGTATCTAAAATGTAAAAACACCAACAATGGCAAGTGGTGGAGGGTGTCTAGAGCAATTGGAACTCTCTTCCTCTACACCTCTCCTTCTACTTGTGCTCTCTTTTGCTTTCTCTCTCCCTCAAATAAATCAATCTTTAAATAAAGTAAAATACTCCCAATAATGTAGTACCATATAATCAAACACATTGATATTTCCTTTTTTTTTTAAGATTTTATTTTAAGTTATCTCTAAATGCAACATAGGGCTTGAATTTACAACCCCAAGATCAAGAGTCACATGCTTCACTAACTGAGCCAGCCAGGTGCCCCCACATTGATATTTCTTTAGCAAAATATGATATTTACACAAAGCGGCATCAACAAGGATATAAATAGATTCACTTCAGTTCAAGTTAGGTTTTGGTCCCTGGATGAAATTGCAGCAAACATATTTATTTTTAATTTTTGAGTTTTTAGTATTGCAGAATTAAGGATGGTTTTAAGATAAGATTTTAAGTATTACAGAAAAAAAACAAACAAAAACAACTTAGAACAATCCTGTCCAACACAGTGGCTGTGAGTGATCCATGGTTACTTATCTTTAAATTAAATATAATTGTAACTATATAAAATTTAAAGTTCAAATAGTAGTTATTAAAACAAATATTAAACCACATCACAGAACTGTGTAGTTGGAAATTACAAATCCACAAATTATTAACAACGATAAGTGTATCTGGAAAGGTTGCTGATATAGGGCATTCAAAATAATAAAGCCAATTAAATAATAAAGACAAGTCTAGTAATAAAGGTTGCTAGAGATAAGGCATTCAAAATAATAAAGTCAATTATATTTCCAAAAAAGTAGAATAGGCATTTAAAAAATTATACTTTTTATAATAACATCAAAAATATCATTTATCTAGGAAAAAACTAATAGATGTACAAGCCACTGCACGGAAAATATTGAAAAAAATTAAAGAAAGCCCAAATAAATTGGAGAATATACCATAACCATGAATTGAAAGATTCAACATGTCAATTCTTTCCAAATTAATTTACTATCACCCTGATAAAAATCACTGCCAAGAGCTTTGATTAATTGATTAAACTGATACTAAAATTTATTTGGAAATGTAAACAGATAAGAGTAGCTAAAACAATATTAAAGAAATAGAACAAATTTGGAAAATTTACACAACCAGATACTGAAACCTGTTGTAAAAATTTATAGCCTGGGGCACCTGGGTGGCTTAGTGGTTGAGAGTCTGCCTTTGGCTCAGGTTGTGATGCTGGGGTTCTGGGATAAAGTCCCGCATCAGGCTCCCTGTAGGGAGCCTGCTTCTCCCCCTGCCTAGGTCTCTGCCTCTCTGTGTGTGTCTCTCGTGAATAAATAAATAAAATCTTAAAAAAAAATGTATAGTCTCAAACTGGAAACAGCACAAAATCCATCAAGCTGCCCCAAGTATGATTTTCACACTTTTCTCATAAATATTGGTAGAGGTTTGAAACCATACTGTGAATATGGGAACTTCATGAGCGCTGAAGTCAGGTGTAGGAGAAACACATCTTACCTTGGGGATGACATAGTTTCTAAATTTAACGTCACAGGTCACTGCATGAGGCAGGCTTTTTGGGAGAAGGTCAATGTATCTCTGGATCTCATGCAGTACCGCATTCGTGTAGGGCATGCGACTCCTGTCCTGCATGCGAGGGCTCTGGTGTCTGCCAATTACACGGTCAATCTCTTCCTGGACTTTCACTGATAAAATACAAATGAGACTGATGAACGAAGAGGCAAATGCATACATACGTTGACATGCCAATTCAGGTAATATGAACCCTTTGAAGGTATTCCAACATCATTATAAACATCAGTTTTATGCCCCAAAGCACACTCTGCCCACCATGCTGGCCATACCTGTGACTTCTGGATGTTTCAGCAGGAGCAGGAGACCATATCGTAGGGTTGTGCTTGTGGTCTCTGTCCCAGCTCCAAACAAATCAGTGGCAATAGCTCTCAAGTTTTCGAAAGTAAATTCCAATGGCTGGTTGTGCTTTTCCTAGGAATTATTTGGCGTAAGTATTTACTGGTTCACCAGGATATGTGATTACAACTAATCCAAAGTAACACATCGTTATAAAGTTAAGCAAACTTAGAAACTGCAGTGTTAAAATAACAACTGTATGGTATGGAAAATTGTCTGGATTAGTTGACCCAATCTTTATTTCCTATTCCCTTATCCTTTGCTTTCCTACAAATTTCATTTCCTAGCCTCTTTTGCAGCTAAATTGGCCAAGCAATCCATTTCTTACCAATAGCCTATTGATGTCACTTTCTTTCCTTCCTTCTTCTTACTGCAGAGCTACACACACATATAGGTGGAGGCAGTATAGATATCATCTGGAAACATGAACATGAAGCCTACATACTAAGAATGCTAAATAAAGGGGCACCTGAGTGGCTCAGTCAGTTAAGCATCTGTTTTTGGCTCAGGTCATGATCCCGGAGTCCTGGGATCAAGGCCCGAATGGGGATCCCTGCTCAGCCGCAAGCCTGCTTCTCCCTTTCCTCCCCACTTTCTCTCGCGATCTCCTTCACTATCTCGGTCTCTGTCTCAAATAAGTAAATAAAATCTTTAAAAAAACAAAAACAAAAACAAAAACAAAGAATGCTAAATAAAAATGGAAGAAAGCACCTGAGTCCATGATACTTCAGGACTACTGTACAAGTCCTGGACTGCTCAACATGATATCCTCTCTACATGAGGTAAATAAACCCACTATTTCTTTAAAACATTGTTAATTGGGTTTTCTCTTGTTGGTCGGCAAATGCAATCTTAACTGATAGAAATGAGTAAATTAGAGCCGTATCTTGAAAAATGGCATAAACCATGATCAAGAGTTTGCAATTCTCCTCTTCTGTTATAGAATTTCTATGGACTCCATATTGCCTAAAAACTCATTATATAGTTGAAAATATGCAAAAGCTAACATGGCAGCACATCTGAGAACAGATTATTGTGAGAATGGATTTATTTTTTTTTAATTTATTTTTTATTTTTTTTTATTTATTTACGATAGTCATACAGAGAGAGAGAGAGGCAGAGACACAGGCAGAGGGAGAAGCAGGCTCCATGCACCGGGAGCCCGACGTGGGATTCGATCCCGGGTCTCCAGGATCGCGCCCCGGGCCAAAGGCAGGCGCCAAACCGCTGCGCCACCCAGGGATCCCGAGAATGGATTTACAAAGACAAAAGGGGGCCAGCTGCTATTGTACTCCAGATGTGAGGCAGGAGGCAGTTTGGTTTAGGAAACAAGTGCAGGAATTAATGGGGATACAAATAGAATATTACAGACATGAAGACAGAAAATTTGAGCATTAACCACCCATAGTGGATGAAGGAGAGTGAGGCAGATGCTGAGGATAAGAGACTGACTACAAAGAGATCTCATAAATTTTAAGTGGAGTAAAAGCACCTCACAAGGACAACTGAAGTTGGTTTAAGATAAGGGTGACATGAAATTGACAACAACAACGTGGCCATTTGAAATATTGACTAAGAAAGTCACTAAAATACACACAAAAAAATTTCTTCCTATCCAGTCCTCTAGGCCAACATTAATAAGACTCTTACAATCCCCAAGACCTGTGGCATGCCTAACATGTCATCAACTCCATTAAGGCAGGCTTAACCTCAATGGCTCTACTGCTAGACCCACTGGTAACATCAACATCACACACTTTTCTAACCTTGCCAACCCCAAATTACTGTAAGGCCAGGAAAAGGAATAGGTCAGTTATAAACCATTATTAGCATTTCCATCTGTTGAAGTAAATTTGAAGAATCAGTGCTTCCATACACATAGGTTATCAACTTTATGCCTAATTTTATGCCTAAGGAATGAAGTGAAAGAAGCTAGAACAAAAGACTATATACTGTATAAATCCATTACTGTGAAACACCCAGAATAGTAAATCTATAGAGACAGAAAGTAGAATAGTGAATCCTGAAGCTGGAAGGCTTTGAGAATAATGGAATGAGTACTCAGTCTTACGGGGCTTCTTTTGAGGGTGATGAAAATGTCCGGTAATTGATTGTGGTGGTGGTTGCACAAATCTGAAAATACACAATTACTGAATTGTGCTTGAGATGTGGGAACGGTATGGTATGTGAATTATACTATGTGAAGATATTAACAACAACAAAAGGAATAATAAGCTAGAATTTAAATACTATCATGAAGTCCAGAGGAGCAATGCAGTTTTTAAATGTAGTATTAAGGAAATACTGCTAATTGAAGTATGAGAGATGTCAGACTTCCTTAGCCTAGAATCAGTGGAGAGTCTTACTAGTGTTAAGGAAATCCCTCAAAATATGTGCAAAATACAAAAACATGCACATAGGTACATTCTTCTGGGAAGGTGACCATACTTTTAATCAGATTCTCAAATCAGCTGATCGCTAGAAAGATAAAAATCATTGCCCTAATGGCAGAGAAAGCAGAGAGTGGAAGTAATTCTCTTCGCTCTTCTACTTTCTTCAAACCACTTGACCAGTTTCTTCACTTCATTCCACCTAGAATATGTGATTTGAGCAGTCCAATTGAAATCCAGGGACAATTCTTTGACAATCATCTTCATCATTATCATTGACATCTTGCCATGTTAGGCTACTCACTGGTTTCTCATTTCTGAGCAGAGTTACAAAGTGATTGGATAAAGTAATGATGGCCTCAGATGAAGGAACTTCCTTCTCTAGAATTAGCTCTTTACAACACATTCTATGATGTTCAATCCAGATCTATGCATACATAAGTACCTAAAGTGCTTGTCAAGCATTTCTTACCTGACAATTTAAATATCCTCAATAAGGAGAGAACAAATCAGTGAGCCAAAAACCACAAGTAAACAAATAACTGATCTGCATTTTACCTGTTCCATTTTTATCAGGAAATAATCAATGAAATCACGAGGATTGTTAACATTGAAGGATTCTTGGTGTTCTTTTATTTTCTCCAAAATGTAACTTTTTATGAAAGCACAATTTTTAAATATTGTGTTATGGCTTCCTGGGAGATAATGAAGGAGAGCAGGGAAACTATTGTAGGCCTTAAAGATAAAAAAAAATTAATAAAGTTAAAAAGTTTTGAAAGCATATATAAAACATGCCAAGCCCTGGTTAAAAAATGAGATGAAGAAAAAATGGTCTCTGTCTTCTGGGGGAGCATTTTGTATTGTATGTATAAAGTAATCCTCTGTGCTCATAGAGAACCTGAGGGGAAACTCTGACCAGATGATGATACATGATATTCTCCTATACATCATACATCAACCCTATAGTATTAAAGCATCTTTACTTCCATTCTCTCATTTTTTAATATTAATTCTTCCCTACAACCTTGAAATATAGAATGCCATGAATTACTATGATTCATATTTTATAGATGAAGACTGAAGTTGGGCAGCCCGGGTGGCTCAGCGGTTTAGCACCTGCCTTTGGCCCAGGGCGTGATCCTGGAGACCTGGGATTGAGTCCCACATCAGGCTCCCTGCATGGAGCCTGCTTCTCCCTCTGCTTGTGTCTCTGCCTCTCTCTCTGTCTCTCATGAATAAATAAATAAAATCTTAAAAAAAAAAAAAAGACTGAAGTTAAGGGAGTTTGGGCAAAACCTAATTCATAGCACAAGCTACTCCCTCATCAGTGTTCCCTGGTGGCATCCATGGTCCCAAAGGTTTTCTCTGCTTGAAGGAGATATTCTCCTCCTTCCTAAATTAACATATTTCTGTGAAGGAATATGATGAAGAGGTCACTAAGTGTGAGTGGAGGACAAACCTTGTGGGCAAAAGGAACCTTTCAGCAAGGACCTGAATGCCCATTAACTGCTGCGGGCATGTTTCTGGACAGTTACCAAAACTGGGCCTTGGAAAGACCACTGGCCAGGGAGTCAATGGGCTTGAATTCCACCAGCTCCACATTTGGACATTTGTCTTCTTGTCTGTGAAATAAAGGTTTCAACTATCCTTCCCAGATGTACACTCCATGACGCTTGCCCTGGGCAGGAGAGGAGTATGGTATTCAAAAATTCACTCCACTGAGTATGACCAGTGAAAATGTCAGAGTACACACCTTCAAAGGCAGGACTCTCAAAAAAAAAAAAAAAAAAAAAAGGCCGAAAATTTTTAGCAAAAACTAGGATACCTGGGCAGCTCAGTGGTTAAGCATCTGCCTTATGGCCCAGGGTGTGATCCTGGAGACCTGGGATGGAGTCCCACGTCGGGCTCCCTGCATGGAGCCTGCTTCTCCCTCTGCCTGTGTCTCTACCTCTCTTTCTCTGTGTGTGTGTATGTGTCTCTCATAATAAATAAATAAAATATTTTTTAAAAGTTCTAGCAAAAACCATAAGAATCAACTTGTCAGAACTCTAGAAAACAAAGGCTTATAGCCATCATGTGAATGCTGAATCAAGAAAAAGACAACTTGAAAATGGTGGGGAAGCTTGTGGAATATTTAATTTGCCCCTGTCCCACCTCCTTCCTCAGTTTGGCAGTGGTTTTAACAAGGGAAGCTCCTTGTGTGGGACTCTGGTTTCTAGTTCAAGAGACTAGAGCAGATTTTACAAAATATTGTGTTTTTACTCTATTGCAATTTCTCTGGGGTAATCTGAAGGACTGACACAGACTTTTGTCTTTGTTTCATCTAACCTAGAACTCAGGGTGGGAAAGCAACAGGCATGTCTCAAAACTTCTGTAAGGCAAATGAATAATCCACAGCCTCCTGAGGCAAAGATTATTTAAGATAGAGCACCAGATGCTGGGGAGAGAATATCTTCTAGAAATCAGGGCATTCAAAAGTACCCATGAATACTGAGGAATTTAGACATTTTAAAATTCAGAAAACAGGACATAGGCTAAGAAAAGACCTCAAAAAACCTTAAGCTTTCACCTCTGGCTGATATTGGCTCAGTGTGTAAGCAACAGGATTGAGAAAGAATTGAAAACAGTCTGATAAAAGCACTGAAGGGAGTGCCCCAGCACAGAACCAATTTGGAAGAGTTCTTTAGTCTGTCCTTCCCTCCTTCTTCCCTCCCTCCCTTTCTTCCTCCCTCCCTCTCCCTTCTCCTCTCTTTCTCCCCACACCCCCTCCTCCTCCCTTCTTTTCCGCTCGTCCCATTCAAGGAAAACTCCATCAAAACACTAGCTGAACACAAGTTAAAGAATCAAAGATTTCAGAGACCATATATGACAAAGAAGAGACTTAGCAAACCGGTTCAGAAAAGTCACTAAATAAACATCTATAGCCTATAGAAAGCAAAAAGCAAAATAAACCCATAGCAAGCAAAACAAATTAAAAAAAAATCTCAGGGAGGATGAAGAATTTCATTTCCACAGTTACCACATTATAATATCCAAATGCCCAGTTTTCATTCACTTCACAGAATGATACATACACAATTTTGAACTTGTCAGAGAAAAGAGAGGATCTTGACCTCACCTGGATCCATGGGGAGCTCAAAATCCTTAAGTTTTCATTAAGTTTTTCCAAGAAACCAAGTAAAGTCTGATCTGTATAGTCAAAACGATTCTGGAAAATAATGGAGCAGATCACATTGCAGGAAGCACAGCCCAAGACAAAAGTGGGATCACATGGTAAGGCTAAAGAAGAGGAAAAATTTATAAAATACCATTAAAACACGCATATAAAAGTCTTTATTGTTGATAATAGGTAATGACAATTTTTAGAATCTCTAAAGCAATATCTACCTAGCAATCCCCTTTATCAGCAAAAATTTCAGCATGCTTAAAATCAACACATCACTTTTCTCTTAAATGCAATGTCTACTCTATCCTAGTTTGTTTAATAATAGTTCTCCAAATACTCCAATTAGATCACTATCTTTGTTTACTTGATTCGGACCCAAGGTAACTATTATTTTGAAGAGCAAAAGAAAAACTTTAAGGAAGTCACTTTTGGGATTCCTGTGTGGCTCAGTGGTTTAGCGCCTGTCTTTGGCCCAGGACGTGATCCTGGAGTCCCGGGATCAAGTCCCACATCAGACTTCCTGCATGGAGCCTGTTTCTCCCTCTGCCTGTGTCTCTGCCTCTCTCTCTCTCTGTGTCTCTCATGAATAAATAAATAAAATCTTTTAAAAAATAAAAAAAATAAAGAACCCACTTTCAATTATTATTTTTTAAAATATTTTATTTATTCATTCATGAGAGACACAGAAAGAGGCAGAGGCAAAGGGAGAAGCAAGCTCCATGCAGGGAGCCCGATGCAGGACTCAATCCTAGGACCCTGGGATCACGACCTCACGACCTAAGCCAAAAGCAAATGCTCAACCGCTGAACCACCCAGTTGCCCAGAAACCACTTTTGAAAACAGCTAATGGGGGCACCTGGCTGGCTCAGTAGGTGAAGTGAGCACGTGACTCTTGATCTTGGAGTCGAGTGTTCAAGTCCTAATTTGGGTGTGGAGATTACTTAAAAATAATAAAAAAAGAAATTAAAAAAAAAAAAAAACGAAACACCTGGGATGCCTGGGTGGCTCAGTGGTTGAGCATCTGCCTTCAGTTCAGGGTGTGATCCCGGGGGCTAGAGATCAAATACCACATCCGGCTCCATGCAGGGAGCCTGCTTCTCCTTCTGCCTGTGTCTCTACCTCTCTCTCTGGGTCTCTCATGAATAAATAAATAAAACCTTTACAAAAAAAACAACTAATAATTCAAGTTATCGATGCAGAATCACACCTGCCTGTTAAGCTTGTAGACTCGAGTAGGAAGGAAGAAAATAGCTAGTGACCTGGAAACCTTTTATATATAATGAATAGTTGAAGTGAACCATGTGTAAAACCAGCAGAGGAAAAGATCAAAGAAAGAAAGATCATGGAAAAATTCAGGTATTTTGGTGAACAAAATAAACTTAAAAAAGCAAAAGCTATCCATGTTGCATGAGAAGAAAAACTAACACAAATGAATATAAATTATAGTACAGATTTGTTTGCCTAAAATAGAAGTAAAACAAGAAATCTCCATGTCAAACTTAAATCACTACCAGGGCAAACAGAAAAGAACAAATTGGTAAATAGAGTCCTTGGTTGCCTCTGGCTCAGTAGATAGAACATGTGATTCTTAATCTCATGGTCATAAGATCAAGCCTCACGTTCAGCATGGAATTTATTTAAAAGATAAAAAAATAAAAATAAATAAAAGGCAATAAACAGGGTCCTTGTATTTCTTTACTGCAATATAGAAAATAATAATACTTTTCCTCTCTAGGAAATAATGTCCATCATTACCAGTCAGGCCCCAGACTTATTTGAACAGCCTGCCCTCTTGTGGAATTCTGGAGTATTTCTATATATAAACATTAAAGACCATAGTTCTAAATTTTTAACTGGACTATCATTTAGGTCAACTCTGCCATTTTACAGAGAAAGCAGAGGAAAGGTTTTGTTTTTAGTGAGAAGTATTTAAGTGAAATTTCTTTTTTAAAAAAAATATTTTATTTATTTATTCATGAGAGACCCAAGGAGGCAGAGACATAGGCAGAGGGAGAAGCAGGCTCCATGCAGGGACTCCGGGATCATGACTCCAGCCAAAGGCAGACGCTCAACCACTAAGCCACCCAGGCGTCCCAAGAAAGAGGATTCTACCACAGGAGGCACATAAACACTTTCATGAGAGACTCAGAGAACATAAATAAGCAGGCAAACAACTATATAAAACTTAATAGTACAGAGACATAGGCAGAGGGAGAAGCAGACTCCCTGCGGGGGAGCCCAATGTGGGACTTGATCCCAGGACCTTGGGATCACAACCTGAGCCAAAGGCAGATAGATGCTCTATCATTGAGCCACTCAGGTGCCCTTTCAATGAAATTTCTATAATCAAATGATCAATAAACTTTATCTGTAAAAGCCTTCAACTTCATATCATCAATGTAATTAAAGGTGACCAGAATAAAAAATGAGGAAGGAGAGGGAATTTTAGTTAGCTGTTATTCCAGACCCCTTGTTAGCTGAAACATGCAAGGACACTAAGCTTTCAGAAAAATTTATTTTAAAACCTAAGGGATAATTTGGGAAGACCTTGAGATAATTTGGGAGATCTTGTGTGTGTGTGTGTGTGTGTGCATGCCTGTGAAATTCACAGCTAAAATCTGGTTTTTAATCTTTCACTTCATTTGAGAGAAAGAATTTAAAAACAGAGTAATTTGGAATCCAGACTGACAGATTCATTATGACAAGCACTTCATCCATCACAATTTTTAACTGTAGAAAGCAAACTAATGGTTACTAGAAGAGAGGTGGGTGGGGGGATGGGTTAAGCAAGTGATAGGGATTATGAGGGCACTTGTGATGAGCACCAGGTGACATATGGAAGTGTTGAATCATTACATTGTACACCTGAAACTAATTAAAAAAAAACCCTGTATGTTAAATAACTAGAATTTTAAATAAAAACTTAAAAAAATAGTTGTTGGGGTACCTGGGTGGCTCAGTCCATTAAGCATCTGCCTTGGGCTCAGGTCATGATCCTGAAGTCCTGAAATTGAGCCCTGAATCAGGCTCCTTGCTGAGCAGGGAGCCTGCTTCTCCCTCTCCCTCTACCATTCCCCCTGCTTGTGCTCTCTGGCTCTATCTCTCTGTCAAATAAATAAATAAAATCTTTTAAAAATAAGTAAATAAACAAAATAGTTGTTGACAGGGACATCAAAATTAATGAGGGCAGCAGTAAAGATGCCTAAGCAATTACAACCATAAAAAGTATCATTACTAGCCAGAAAATGAAGTTGACTAAACACATATAGACCAATTAAGTAAAAGCACATGTCACTGGTTTCATGAGCACCATAAGGGTGTGATGAGGTAGCTTCCACTGTGTCCACTTGACAAGTATACCCTGGTGACATGTTCTGAAATAGGTAACCCACATTTACAGTATAGGAAAAAATACTGTTCTAACTCTGTAAAAAAAAAAATGAGTCCATGGGATGCCTGGGTGGCTCAGCGGTTGAGCGTCTGCCTTTGGCTCAGAGGGTGATCCTGGGGCCCCGGGATCGAGTCCCATATCGGGCTCCCCGCATGGAGCCTGCTTCCCCTTCTGCCTGTGTCTCTGCCTCTCTCATTCTCTGTGTCTCTCATGAATGAATAAATAAAATCTTTAAAAAAATTTTTTTTGTTTTAAAATGAGTCCCCTAATGTTTTACATTTATGATGTAATGATTTGGAAATAAACACACTTGGGACAGAAAAGGATTAAATGACCTTTTATACCCACACTGTATGCACAAGTCATGAAAGGACACACACGGCAAGCCTAGATACATAGAAGCTCCTGTGGCTCTCTGCTACACCCGTTTCGCCACACGAGGCTGAAATGTTTCCAAGGACATCAGGAGACAAGAGAACAATCGGCCAAGGCCAGAGCTATAGAATCACTCACCATTGGTTTTTCTCAACTCTTCTACAAGGTAGCAGGCTTCCTCTTGAACTCGGCTCTCAAGGTCACTCTTCCCCATCCCCAAATTTCGCAGGGTCGTGAGGGCAAAGCGTCGCATCTCCTTCCATCTGTTTCCACTGGTGAAAAGGATTCCTACCAAAGGGGGAACAGAAGCTGGAGGGAAGGCCATAGGCAAGGAGGAGGAAGCGGATACTTGGGCGACTCATGATGGGCCAAGTTCTGCTGAGTTCTTCAAATTCCTGTTTTCCATCCTTCCCAACCCTATAACCAGTGCTGAACACATGTGTACATGCACACCTACCGTGTCCTTCACTAACTTTTTCGGCTATTGGGAAATGTCCTCTTGCAGAAAACTTTTCTCCCAGATCAATCAGGGTTTCCTTCACTGCGTCATACCCATGCAGTACAACAGTGGGTTTCATGCCAAAATACAGAGTGAATACGGGGCCATAGGCTTTTGAGAGCTGAGAAATTCAAAGGAAAAATATATATTAGCAAAAGAAGTCACAATTTATATTTTGTGCATGATTTTTGTATGTGTGCATGATTAAGCCTGATATCATCATATTGTCGATGTTTTTATTCTGCACGTGGCTTCAATATTTCTGGATCTTATATATGAATAAGATTGACACAGCTGACACATATAGAGGGCCTCTGATATGACAGGCAATGGCCTGCGCAATTGGTACTCAGATTATTACAACTAATCATCACATCAATACCTTGAGCTAGGCTTATTTACCCTGTTTTACAGATAAAGAGGTTGAAGCTCAAAGAATTTCCTGTATATTTCCAGTGTCTAATAACAGAACACTCAAATTTCAACCCTCTTAGGTTGGCCAACCTCTGATGTCTGAGTCCCCAGTGCCTAGCTTTGGGACCAGTACCGAACTGTTTCAGGATCACCCATAAAGCTCGTCCCCTGGAGATTCTTTTTTTATTCTATTTTATTTTTAAAGGATTTTATTTTTAAGTAATGTTCACACCCAACATGGAGCTTGAACTCGTAACTCCAACATCAAGAGTCACAAGCTCTATTGAGCCAGGAACCCCTAGCCCCCGGAGATTCTGATTCAGGAGCCTTATGATAGATATTAGAAATGTTTGTTTGTTTTAAATCACCCCAGATAGTGCTAATGCCCACTCCAGCTTGAGATCTGCTGGTATTACTAACATGAAAGGACACACAGTATCTCATGGAAGAACAATTTCTTCTATTCTGCACCGTTCACAGGATATGGACAGCAGCTTTGTACAGAATTGGAGGATGCTGACCCTGATGATTTCCTGTTTTTCATTCATTCATGCTAGTTCTGAACCTAGAGTTCTCTCCTTGATATCAGGCACAATTGCTTCTCCAGACTTCAATTTCATGGCTATTGAACTAAACACACAGACTAGTAGATGACTTCTTGAATGAAATCTCTAATCACAAAACACCTCTCTTACCATTTATCTTCAGGCAGAAATCATAGCAAAAGGCTGTGAAACAAACAAAAAAGGCAGAATTCTTGGCTTTTCTCTTTTAGACAGAGAAAGAGCATGAGTGGGAGTGGCAGAGGGGCATAGGGCAAACCTTGAGCTGTGCTGAGTTTGGTGCCCAATGACAGCTTGATCCCTGAGATCATGACCTGAGCAGAAACCAAGAGTCAGATGCTCAATCACCTAAGCTACCCAGGTGCCTGAACTTTATTATTTTAATGCTACCACAGAACAGCCTAAATATTTCTCTATTCATAGAACACATTATGTTATTCCACTATTCCTTTTTTTTTTTTTTTTTTTTTTTTTTAAGGAATCTCAATGCCCAATGTGTGGCTCAAATTCATGAACCTGAGATCAAAAGTTACAAGCTCAGGATCCCTGGGTGGCGCAGCAGTTTAGCGCCTGCCTTTGGCCCAGGGCGCAATCCTGGAGACCTCGGATCGAATCCCACGACGGGCTCCCGGTGCATGGAGCCTGCTTCTCCCTCTGCCTATGTCTCTGCCTCTCTCTCTCTGTGTGTGACTATCATAAATAAATAAAAATAAAAAAAAAAAAAAAGAAAAGAGTTGCAAGCTCTATGGATTTAGCCAGCCAGGCACTCCTATTCCAGTAATTTTTTTTTAAAGTAAGCTTTAGGCCTGATGTAATGCTTGAATTAATGACCCTGAAATCAAGAGTTGCATGTTCTACTTACTGAACCAGCCAGATGCTCCTTTTTCTGCTATTCTTGACTATGCTTCTCAAGGAGTATTTGCTTTACAGATATATCTCAATATTTTTAATATATTTTTAACTTTTATTTATTTATGATAGTCACACAGAGAGAGGCAGAGACATAGGCAGAGGGAGAAGCAGGCTCCATGCACCAGGAGCCCGACGTGGGATTCGATCCCGGGTCTCCAGGATTGCGCCCTGGGCCAAAGGCAGGCGCTAAACCGCTGCGCCACCCAGGGATCCCAATATTTTTAATATGTTAATTTTAATAGACACATTTTATTTAAAAGTAGAGGTTAACATACATACCCTTTGCAAACTGCTGAAGGAGCATAAAACATACTTACATTGCTTAAGGATTTGTTGATGTCCTTATCTAACTGTAGGATATTTCCAATAAAAGGGAGAGGTGTGGGGCCAGGTGGGAGCTTCCCCTTCCTCGAGCTCTGTTTCCAGAGTGAAAGGAGAAGGCAACAGGAGAGACAAAGCACCAGAACCACAACTGGATCCATGAAAGCTTTCTTGGACAACTGTGAGCTTGAAATCTAAAGCTTTTGTAACACTCCCTGCAACATGTGACTCATAATCCATCAGCTGGATTTACTTTAATCTCTCTTTTGAAGGGACTTTGGCCCACTGATAAAGATAAAACTATGGTGTTCTTTTTTTTTTTTTTTAATGGTGTTCTTTTCTTTTGCTTCTATCTAATACTATGCCCGAGGTTCTGATCTAACAGGTCTGGGATGGAGTCCAGGTACTGGTAATATTTTGGGTTTTGTTTGTTTGGGTTTTCTTTTTCTTTTTTTTTTTTTTTTGAACACTTTAGGTGGTTCCAATTGAAAGCCAATAAATAATTTGATCACAAGAACTGCAAAACAGGGAAGCCCAGGTGGCTCAGTGGTTTGGCCCTACCTTCAGCCCCAGGTGTGATCCTGGAGTCCCGGGATCGAGTCCCACGTTGGGTTCCCTGCATGGAGCCTGCTTCTCCCTCTGCCTGTGTCTCTGCCTCTCTCTCTGTGTGTGTCTCTCATGAATAAATAAATAAAATCTTAAAAAAAAAGAATTTTAAAACATTCTGGATTCTCAGATTAATGACCAGTTGAGAATTCATGATTCGGGGGAAATCTTTATATACAAAAAAAGTTTATCCTTGGATGTTTTATCGAACACCAGTATATTTTGTCCTAGAAAATGAAAGCCTTTTGAAATATTTTAGTGTATTGTACTAACATTAAGAATGAACTAGAAGGGTGCCTGGGTGGCTCAGTTGGTTGTCTGCCTTCGGCTCAGGTCACGATCTCAGGGTCCTGGGATCAAGCCCTGCATCAGGCTCCCTGCTCAGCAGGGAGTCTGTTTCTCCCTCTCCCTCTGCCCCACCCTCTGCGCCTGCTCTAAATAAATAAATAAATAAATAAATAAATAAATAAATCTTAAAAAACAAAACAAAACCATAAGCTAGGTAATGTAACTTTTTTTAAAAAATTTTTTTTATTTATTTATAATAGGCACACAGTGAGGCACACTCCATCACTGTGGAGTGAAACTTGCTCAGATAACAGAAGAGCCAATCTCCAATAATTTAGGAGGTTTGAGAAAATATTTCCTCCACCTCGCTGTGACCTCTAGACATAGCACCTTCTGTTGATTTTTTTGGCCTGTCATTGTAAAAAATAATGGAATGAAGTACGCACAGCAAAGGAGGGAAGATTTTATTTATTTATTTTTTTTAAAGATTTATTTATTTATTCATTCATTCATTCAGAGAGAGAGAAAGAGAGGCAGAGACACAGGCAGAGGGGGAGAAGCAGGCTCCATGCTGGAAGCCTGACACGGGACTTGATCCTAGGTCCCCAGGATCACACCCCGGGCTACAGGCGGTGCTAAACCACTGCACCACCCAGGGATCCCCCAGCAGGGAAGATTTTAAAACAAAAGCCAGAGAATGGAATTCAGGGAATTCATTAAATTGACCCACAAAACTGGGACATCTGGCTGGCTCAGTGGGTGGAGCATGGGACTCTTGATATTCAGGGTGTGAGTTTGAGCCCCACATTGGGTGTAAAGAGTATTTAAAAATCTTAAAAAAAAAAAAAAAGTCCTCAGAAGCACTACAACATGAAGACCTGAATGGATGACATTCAGTGGTCCTGAAGGTCTAGATATCACTGGAATAATAGATGTGCATTTTCAGATCACTAATGGTAATGCTTGTACAAAGTGATGTTCTGTAAATATATTTCCTCTGAATTGAGTACTGCAGTTATTTCTAAGCTCTTTTACTAAACAAGTTTTTTTATTTTATTTTATTTTATTTATTTATTTATTTTACTAAACAAGTTTTATCAAGACCCCAGTTATGTTTTATCACTCATGATTACAGGGATATTGATAATTTACAGAATTTTCATACCTATCATCATATTTTTTTAAAGATTGTATTTATTTATTTGAGAGACAGAGAGACAGCACATGAGTGGAGGTGGTGGAGGGGTAGAGGGAGAAGCAGACTTTGTGCTGAGCAGGGAGTTGGATTCAGGGCTAGATTCCAGGACCTCAGTATCATGATCTGAGCCAAAGGCAGATGCTTAGCCCACTGAGCCACCCAGGTGCCTCTTATCATCTCTCTTTTGATACTCAGTTACCTTTGCCTAAAATAATATTCCCATTTTAAGGATGAGGCAGCTGGGCCTCAGGGCTGTAGCACCTTTGCCAAGGACACACAGATTGCAGGTGGTAGAGTTCAGAGCTCACATGCCCTGAGTGGTGCAAGCTTCCCAACAAGAAAAACATTCAGTTCAACTAAGTTTCTCCACATTTACTGAATGTACACTGAGTATGATCCAGTATTCCATGAACTATCTTTGTCAGTGACTTTCAAATAAACATTTGAGTCAATAATGGCAGAATGCATTGATTAAAACAGGGGTCAGAAAAGATTTATAACCTTTAAAAGTCGAGTCCAGGGCTTGCTGAAACTTTGTAATTTACCAAAGACAAAAGGGAAGCATTAATTTGCTGACTCACTCACCTAGCCCTAGATCTAAAAGAGCCACACTACTTAATGAACTCGATAGCCTTTCTTTCTTTCTTTTTTTTAAAAGTAGGCTCTGCACCCAATGTGGGGCTAGACCCACGACCCTGAGATGGAGAGTTGCATGTTCTACTGCCTGATGCAGCCAGGCACCTTTCCATGGCTCTCTTAATAGCAATTATTTTATTACTTGGGAGATGGGTTCCCTGCTTGCTCCTTCCTCTTGCTGAGGCTCCTGCCTGGCCCTTTCTCTTTATAAAACAAGAGTGACAGGTGATTCAAGATGGAAGGAATCAAATCCCTAGTGTCATCCCTACATTCATTTTGGTGACTTGGTGAGGTGAATTGTCATCAATTCATCCAGTATAAGACCTTGTCTTAGAATTCAGCTTTTTAATTCCCAGTTTGGTAACATCACACACTGAAGGGATTTCCCATCACGGCCTGAATGGATGGTTGGGGTGGGGGTGGGGTATAGGTAGGGGGCTTCAGCAGGAAGCCCTCCACAGTGACATAGTACTCTGGATATAATTGTTTCTTTGTAAATAAACCTTTCATTGAAGCATGATATATATAAAGTCTTAAAAGTTCTGCTCAGGGAGTTATCATCTGAACACACATACTGTGAAATCAGCAACAGACCAAGAAAAATTTGCCAGGACCCCAGAAGACTTTTTATGCCTATTTGGTAGCTTCTCCTCCTTAATGTATCCAGTATCATGTCAAAGGTTAGTTTTCCCTGCTTGTGGACTTTATATAAGCAAAATCCTACATTTAGTATCTAGTTTCTTCATTTCATGTTGCTGCAAATAGCATTAGTTATGTTTTCTTATAGTGTCTTTAAAGATAATTTTTCAAGATTTTATTTATTTATTTGAGAGAGTGAGAGAGCAGGGGGTGGTCAGAAGGAGAAGCAGACTTTGTGCTGAGCAGGGAGTTGGATTCAGGGCTTGATCCCAGGACCTCAGGATCATGACCTGAGCCGAAGGCAGATGCTTAGCCCACTGAGCCACCCCGGTGCCTCTAGTCACTTATTTTATAATTATTCCACTATTTTTTTTCATCATATTGTGATGAACATGTGGGTTGATTCTAGTTTGAGAATATTATGAAGTGTTACTCTTATAGATGGTTTTTGTATCCCAATGTATTGGATTTCTGCTCAGTATATATCTACAAGTATAATTGCTGGAGATGTAGTGTTCTCTTTGCCAGATACTGACAAATAATTATCCAAATGGTTGATTAGTTTTACTGTGAGATTGGAGGTGGTCTACTTTCTTGCCAACACTAAGTATATTCAGTTTTTCATTTTAACCATTCTGACAGATATGTAATACCTCACTGTAGTTTTAATTCACGTTTTCATGACACTTCATGATGCTGAGTGCTTTTTCTGATGTCCTTTGGCAATATCAATTTACAAAAACCCTTTACAAAAGGGTTTGTATAGTTTAGATATGAGCCCACTGCTGGCTTCATATATAAATATGTGTATTAAAGATATTATTTATTCATGAGACAGAGGCAGAGAGAGAGGCAGAGGGAGAAGCAAGCTCCCTGCAAGGATCCCGATGTGGGCCTCGATCCCAGGACCCTGGGATCATGACCTGAGCCAAAGGCAGACACTCAACCACTGAGCTACCCAGGTGCCCCTATTGACTTGATATGTGTATTTTTACATATTTTACTTTTAATAATCCTAAGTGTATAGATTAGTTCAAAGTCTGTACAAAGAATTTCCTTTACTTTGAACATCTGAGAGTAATTTACTGACCTGAAGTTCCAAAACCAAAATATTTTGATATGGTTATATGCAATTCTCCCATATAACCATAATACAACTTTCAAAATCAGGAAACTAAAATTGATTCATTGGGACCACCCAATCCTCATTTCTATTAATGTTTCACCAAAAGTCCCCATGATATCCTTCATATTCATTCAGAACCCATAATCACATGTTGCAAGTAGTGGTCTTGTCTCCTTAATCTATTTCAGTCTAGAATAGTTCCTTAGCTTTCCCTTGACTTTCCCTTGACCCTGCCACTCTTGAAGATATATGCTGAGTATTTGTAAAATGTCTCTCAATTTGTGTTTGTCTGGTATTCCTCATGATTAGATTCAGTTTATATACCTCTCCCACCCCCATGGATTTTAAGTAATATCTACATCCAACTTGGGGCTTGAATTACAACCCTGAGATCAAGAGTCACATGCTCCAACTGCAGCCAGATGCCCTGAGGTTATGCATCTTTGAAAGGAATATCAAAGAAAGCTTTTTCTTCTCTTTGCATCCTATTAAGATGACAAACAACTACAATCTGCCCATTATGGGTGTCAACTTTGATTACTTAAGAGTGCCTGGTAGTCTCTTCCATAAAATTATTTATTTTTATTTTTAAAATAAAAAAAAAAAAAGGGCAGCCTGGGTGGCTCAGCGGTTTAGCGCCGCCTTCAGCCCAGGGCGTGATCCTGGAGACCTGGGATTGAGTCCCACATCAGGCTTCCTGCATGGAGCCTG